ATGCTAAGCTGGTACTGAGGGCTGCTTCGAGGTAGACACTGCTTCCAGGCCATACACCTGGCATCGCAGAGGGTGCTTGTGAAGGGCAAGTGAATGGGGCGATGGAAGCCTTGTGGCGCTAAAATTGCTGTAAAAGGCAGAAGCCCTAATCCCTAATCCCTAAACCCTAAACCCTAAACCTTTAGCCACTTGGGCTGTATGACAATCAGACAGAATCGTCCCGTCTCGCTTCGTTGACTGGCTGCTAGCTAGGATCAAAGGGCCGAAGGAGCCAAACTCCACAGCGCCACTGATTCTCGTGGCAAGAGAAAGGCCCTGGAAGAGCAAACCCTACCAACCACAGATTATGACTCAAGGTAGGGTTCGGGTTTAGGGTTTAGGGTTTAGGGTTTAGGGTTTAGGGTTTAGGGTTTAGGGTTTAGGGTTTAGGGTTTAGGGTTTAGGGTTTAGGGTTTAGGGTTTCGGGGATCTTCCTTAGGTAGAATTCAATTCAGGCATATTCTGTTGTTGAGGGCGGTGGTCTCTTGGGGTCACCGGGGCTCGGCGCAGGGTCTCGGGTTCAAGGTAAGCAGGTTAGGTTTTAGGGTTTAGGGTTTAGGGTTTAGGGAAAAGGCTTCTCCAGGTACACGACATCCGGTTTTGGGATTGCACAAACCTCACTTGGAGGTTCATGGGCAGCTATAAATAGGGTTACAGGTATGGCGACTCTCCTTATAAGGGCAACTGATATCCCGACGTATAACTCGTGTACCCATCAACCTTCAAGTAGGGTTCAGGAGTTTAGGGTTTGGCGTCCTCGGGTACTTTAAATTTATAGGAGCCCTCGAGAAAAAAAAACTACTTTCTACATCACTTGAGTCACCCTGCCCAACGCCAACGCTGCAGAATGCCTTTCACACGCAAGGGCAATAGTGGGATTACTATCTTGTATGTTTCGGTTTCTTGCCCGAATCCATATTCTCGGCGCAAGGCGGCGACTGTGCGTGCTCAACACAGACAACTTGCCCTTCAACGGGGATGCCATCCGGGGCCACGTGCGGGCCAACAGCGGAGGGTTAAGGGTTCAGGGTTTAGGGTTTGCAAGCATGAGGGCCCGGGTTAAGAGGGTGATAAGCTTGCAGTGAGGGCACCAAGGTACACTAAACCTAAACCTGAACCCTAAATGCTAACCTCTAAGCCCTAAATCCTAAACCACGACATTCCCAAACCCTTAATTAATTTTTTAGCCCATGTTTTACTCAGAGAGCCCGTGCTAGTGCCCCCTATGGTTGACACAATGTCGTCATCAACGTGGGCATTTCGGGTATTTCCTAAAATGGAGGTCCTTTCCCCCCAACTTTTTCCTTTTAATGCATGATTCTTTGTGGGCAAGTTTTTTTTTCTAGAGCAGGCCCTTATTCCCATGTTTGGTGTTGAGGTTCCCTTTTTAGCCACGGTAACACCCACAAGATTTTTATTCCCGGGTTACTCTTGGGTCTAGTCTTGACCCCCCCCAAGTCCCTTTTCGGGTACTCTGAATCATCTACCAATTGCTTAAGACCCCCAAAAAATCAAACATATGCTTCCTTATAAGGGCAATATAAGAATTACTATGTTTTATTTTTTGGGGCTTCTTAAGCAAAGGTAGTCATAGGGGCCGGCTTCTGTGAACCCAAGCCGAGACCATCATTTGGAGAAGTTGCCACATGAAGGGTCCATTTCCTTGGGACGCATACTTGCCGCCTGGGCCATCTTTGCGGTTTACCCTGCGCCCTAAGCCCGTACTAAATTACACATAAACTCCAAACCTTAAACCCTAAACCCTAAAAACTCTACACCCTCAACCCATCAACCCATCAACCCATCAACCCTCAACCCCAAACCCCAAACCCTAAACCCTAAACCCCAGCCATGAGCCTGGCTCAGGTCTGCAGCTGCGACTTTACGCAGGGAGCAGCGAGGCCCCAGCTGCGCGACCCAACGTGGGCCCATGTACCTATACAGTATATACTTGGGCCTTAAAGGGGTTCCCGAAAGAAACTTTAGGGACCAAGCATATACGTATATAGGTACATGGACCCTTAGGGGAAAGGGACCCTTCTTCCGACGTACGGTCTAAGTACTCCTTAAGGGGTTTCTTAACGGCTCTACTGAATTGAGGAATCTACCATAAACCATACAGGGACCCTTCTTCTGACTTACGGTCTACTCCTTAAGGGACTCCCTAAACCCTAAACCCTAAACACTAAACCCTAAACCCTAAACCCTAGGGGCTTCTAACGGCTCTTTGGGTAGCTCTAAGCCGTGCAGGTCCGTGGAGTTCGAAGCCTGGCTTGGAAAGCGCGTGCTGCGCTTGGCTTGTGACATCCTCTCCGTAGACTGAAAGTCCCAAAGTCTGGGGGTTTAGGGTTTAGGGTTTAGGGCTTCGGGATGTTTGGGGCCGCTAAGGTTGTTAATGGGTTGTTCTTAATCATGGGCGGGCGTCTTCAAGGAACCTTGTAATTGTAGGGTTCAGGGCTTAGCGCTTAGGGTTTTACTAGAATTGCAAGGCCCTAAATTGGATTGCAAGCAGTGTGACTTACAAGGCAGCGGCTCAAAACGTCAGGGCTTGTAAACGTGCCCCGGTCGGGCACGGCGCGCCTCAAGGCTTGTAACAAAAGCTGGTTTTTCCGACAAGGAGGTGGTCCCCTTTTATGTTGGATCTTGGCGTTTTGGTGGATTCCGAAATTCGGGTACCTTCTTGGGGTCCTTACTACAAGGGAATCCTACAAGTTGGGGGGTCTATTTTACTTACTTCGCCTTTAGTTGAACTTTAAACATTTTGGGTTTCCTTATTTAGCAGGAATATTAAAGTGTAACCTTTTTGCCCTTGGTTATTGGCAAAGTAAGTTTAGGGGTGCCCTTTTGTTTTCCTTCTTGGGGTCCTTATATTAGTAAGGGACCAAGGGAAAATCCTACTATTTGGGGGGGGGGGGGGGTCTACTTTAGGGGTGCCTTTTTTTGGGGGTAAGCCCCCCATATGTAGGTTTGTGGGGGGTTTTCTCCCTTTGGGGGGTCTGCTGGCTAAGGATGAGGCTTTTGGGTTTTATGAAACCCTAAACCCTGAACCCTAGACCCGAGACCCGAGACCCTAAACCCTAAGCCCTAAACCCGAACTAAACCCTAGACCCTAAGCCCTTGACCCTAAACCCTAAACCCTAAACCCAAGACCCTAGACCCTAAACCCTAAACCCTTACTCCGAAACCCTGAACACCTTTGGGTCATTCCGAAAGCGTTCTGGCTGGAAAGATCAACCTTGCGACCTCAGCGCTCGTGCGGACGAGCGGTGTGCCCGCGGAATGGCTGACGCCAAGACGCATCTGGGTCGCGTTTAGAATTCCCTCGGGGTTTAGGGTTTTGGGTTTTGGGTTTTGGGTCCATGTACCTATATAGGATATAGGATATACTTGGGCCCTAAAGCTACTGTATGGGAGCCCCTTTGAGGCCCAAGTAGATACTATATAGGTACATGGACCCTTAGGGAATGCTGATGTCTGGAGGTAAATGGGTAGTTCTACGTAGGGTTTCGAGTATGGTAGTTCTACTTATAACCCTATTCTGTGTAACCCTATACTTATAACTACCCATGCACCTCTAAGTGGCTTGTTATGTCAATGTACCCCTCCAGGCGATTTAATTCATCGAGAAATAGACCTAACCGCTCTTATGTAGTTCAAGGGCCAGGAGCTCACTAAATCCTAAACCCGAAGCACTAAAAGCAACAACTTTTGCGGAAGCCGAGTGGTACCCTTTCGCTCTGCTTTGGGGTTCTGGATCACCTGAAAAAGTACCCAGCCCCTGTTATCATCTAGGGTTTAAAGGTTTCGCCCTAAACCCTACAACCTAAACCAAGAGCCCAAACCGTCTTTCATGGAGGAAAGCCGCGGCCTTTCTCGCCGTGACTGTCCAGCGTGCCTGCCACAACTCCTTCATCGAGTTCCTCGGCATGATGGTCGAATATAAGGGTTTAGGGTTTAGGGTTTAGGTCGGAATAATCTCTAATACTATTATTCTCTTATGGCCCCTATGTAATTATTATACGATCATAAGCCCCCAAAACCCTATTCTAATATATTAAGGCTCCTATATGACACTACAAGGGTTTTGGGGTTAGGCGGTAGGGGTTTTGGGGGCTAGGGTTTATTGGTTTAGGGCTTAGGGGCCCAGACCTGATCATGTAGGGCGACTGCCGGGAATCTTTCCCAAACCCTAAACCCTAAACCCTAAACCCTAAACCCTAAACCCTAAACCCTAAACCCTAAACCCTAAACCAACTCTGAGATTGCTTGAGTTGGGGTGTGGCTCTATCACTTGACTTTAACGATCGCCGAGGCGAGATGCAACAAGTACTATAGTGCTCCGACACAGGTTGCAAGCATTGTTCTCCGTACTGTAGTCCTAAGGGTTCAGGGGGTCTAGGGTTCTGTTTTGGCCAGTTCACGGACCCTAAACCCTGTAAGTAAAGGTCTTTCTGGGCAAGATATAGAGCTAAACTCTCCCTACTACGGGTCAAGAAAATTGCAGCTCAGGTCTTGTAAGTCCTTCGACCATGGGTTGTCGAGCAAGGGTCTGCATGTTGGTTCTCATCAATGCTTTGCCAAACTATACATAACGGTTCATGGGTAGTTATGAGTAGGGGCTCTAAACATGGCACCTATACCCACAACCCTAAACCCTAAATCCTAAACCCTAAACCCTAAACCCCCAAGTAGATCTCTACGCGACGAATCTCCCAGAGAGCCGCAGAGGTGGGCCAAGGGCGACTCGCCCCACGCGCAGTGCCTGGGCTGCACCGCGATGCTTGGGGTTTAGGGTTTAGGGTTTGGGGTTTAGGGTTTAGGGTTTAGGGCTCAAGGTTTCGGCGTTCTGATTTCGGGCTCGGGGTCCCTTAGTTAAACCCTACAGTAAACCCTCAACCGCAAGGTACACGGTGTCCAGCGTCATCTTCGTGGCACAAATCATCTGCGTCGCGATCGGCTGGATGCTGGCTCACAGCACGGGTGGCCAGGCGCCTTAAGAACCTCCCCAAAAAGAAACAACATTCTTCCTTAATAATAATTGGGGTAACATAACCTTCCCCCTTCCATTACTACTATTTGCTTAAGAACCCCCCCAAAGAAAAAACGAAAGAAAGAAAACAAGTTAAAGACATGCATCGTTTATCACCTTTCCCCCTTTCAAAACTACTATTTGCTTAAGAACCCCCGCAAAAGTAAACAGTGTTCTTCCTTCTAGGGGTAATATGGGATTAGTGTCTTTTCTTGGGGGGGTCTTAATTCAAGCAATGTGTAGAAAGGAGCTTGCACCAGAGAGCTTTAGTTGCACATCGGCATCAACCTCAGTTGGCTTAAGTTTTGTATTCGGGTTTAGGCAACACTCTAAATCCCAAACCCCTAAACCCCTAAACCCTAAACCCGAAAGGGTTGGAAACCTGCTCATAGCTACCCATGAACCTCCAAGTAAGCCCGACTGGGAGGTTCACTTCAACAGGTCTGAGTAGCTACTTGCAACCCCACTTAGGGTACTTATAAGCCTCCTTGCAACTACCCAAACAAACGCCTTGCCCCGCTAAGTGCAATTATCAGCGACGCAAGCTTGGCCTCCCGAAGAGTTTGACTTCAGCAAAGCAGAAGAAGAACAAGAAGAAGAAGAATAATAATAATAGGTTTCAGGGTTTAGGGTTTAGGATTTAGGGAAGAAGAAGAAGAAGAGGAACTTTTTTGTTCTGTTGGCTCGGCCGAGTGGGGTGGTGCAATTGTGCAAATAAAGGGGTGTGGGCGGGGTGTGGGGGGTGTGGGGAGATTTGAATATGAGGTAAACGTTACAAGGGGGGGGCGTCTGCTAGTTGTAAGATGAGTTTCAAAGCTCCTCAGCCAAGCACGGACGGCTCCTTCATATTCACTAAAGTTCGTTAACCTCGGACCTAAGTTGTACTACTTCTAACTAGAGGGGGTCACTCCTTGATTCCAGTCAGGATTTCCTTCGTGAGGTCATTTGAAGGGTGTAGGGTTTTGGTGGCTTAGGGTTTGGGGACTTCCCGGTTCAAGCTTCAAGGGAGCTTCGGGTTTAGGGTTTGGGGTTTAGGGTTTAGGGTTTAGGGTTTAGGGTTTAGGGTTTGGGGAAGCATCCGGATGCACAAGGGAGATCCCCCTCCCAGAGCCTTCTCTCTTGCGAAGAGGCCGACTTGAAGAAGTGCTTCGACACAGGCGATGTTCTTGTGAGGGTTTCGGGCTACCCTAAACCCTAAACCCTAAACCCTAAACCCTAAACCCTAAACCCTAAACCCTAAACCCTAAACCCGAAACCCTAAACCCTAAACCCTAAACCCTAAACCCTAAACCCTAACCCCTAAACCCTAAACCCCAAACCCCATAAAACCCTAAACCCTAAACCCGTCCGTGTTTGTTGGCTGTCACCACTGCAAGCTTGAGCCTCGAACATAGGAGTTGAGGACTTGGGAGACCATATGGGGTACTCCCTATTTTGAGGAAGTACCACGGCCCTTTGTTGGGGTCCCTTTCTCAGGCGGCAGCCTTGTAGTCAGGACCCAAAAAAGGGGCCCTAGTTTGGAGAACTGCCCACATCATATGCAAACACTAAACCCTAAGGGTACGGCTTCCTGTTCGGGGCTGGGTGACGCCACACAAACAGCTCGGGGAGCCCCTAAAACCCACCCCCAATGAGCCTAAGACCCTTGAAGTAAGGAAAGCAGCTTGTAACTCATCAGAAGGATCCCTATATTGAAGCAGCCTGTATGTTACTGTTATTGGTGAGTGTATATTACTGTTATTGGTGAGTGTATATAAGGTTCCTTTTCAATATTGGTGAGTGTATATACTGGGTGTCCTTTTGGCGGTACAAGAAATATTTACCCGACTTCTCATCGTTTTCAGACCATATTCCTTAATTAAGGTGGTGCTGGGTTCTGGGCTCTTTGTCTACGTTGTATCCCCCAGAAACGCGAGAATAATCCCCACAACCTACGAAGTCAAAGTGGGTAGAACAGGCCCATTGAGGTAGACAGCCATAAGGACCCCATAGAGTTGAAAATATGTGCCCGCATTCGTGAATTACGGGGTGTGACGAGGTGGGGGTTTTCGACAATAGGGGACCCCTAAAATCACAAACCCAAATAGTAGGATTCCCTTATAATATGGACCCCAAAAAAAACCAAATAGTAGGATTCCCTTATAATAAGGACCCCTATAAGGTACCCCCTTACTTTCGTAAACCCTCTAAGATAGAGCCCCAAAGTAGAATTCCCTTAGAATAAGGACCCTAGAAGGTACCCCTACTTTCGTAAACCCCCTACTCTCTTACAATAAGGATCCCAAAAAGGCACCCCCCCTACTTTCGTAAACCCCCATGTGTCCTTCAGCAAAAAAAACTTCTCGTGCGAGGCAACCTATCGAGGTTTGCCCACATCGGCCTCATCTATGCCCTGGGAGACATCTTTGAGATGGACCGGGCTTACTGGTTCTGAGTAGGGACTTAAGGAAGGTACCCTATACAGAATCTCTTTCAGGGGTCTACTTCCCGGACTTTGCAAACCTAATCCTGAAGGTCTTATTCTGGTTCTGAGAGCAGGGACTTTTAGGAAAAGAGGTACCCTATACACAATCGCTTATGAGGGTCTACTTCCCGGTTTTTCCACTTAGGTCTAGCAAGGAGTATATGGGCCTCTGGCCGGCAAGATCCAGGAATTGGCGGTCAGCCAACGGCTGCCGGTTTAGGGCTTGGGGTCCAGGGTTCAGGGCTTAGGGTTCAGGGTTTAGGGTTCAGGGTTTAGGGTTTAGGGTTTAGGGTTTAGGATTCAGGGTTCAGGGTTCAGGGTTCAGGGTTTAGGGTTTAGGGTTCAGGGTTTAGGGTTCAGGGTTTAGGGCCTTTATCATCACTGTGCTTTCTGCCCGGAAGACTTGTGCCCTCCCAGATTCGGAAGCCCGGATCCTAGGCCAACGAACCATTGGTTTTAGCCGGCCAAAAAGGTTTGCCTTGAGCTTTCAGCACGGGCGCCCATCCTCCCATGCTTTGCCCACGCAGCCTTTTTGCCCGTAGTCAAGGTCCCCTTCATGAGATAAGCTGGATGCCTGCATGACACAGTAGCTCTCTCTTTCTCTCACCAAAAACGGTTCCCATATTGTTCCTAGGCTACTCTTGGGTCTAGTTAAACCCTCAACACCAAAATCCTTACGCAAGGCGCACTTGTGCTCGTTGGGTAGCCAAACATGGTTCATCCGGGTTGGAGGTCGTCACATTACACCTAAACCTTGAATAATCCATATAATGCTTAACATATCTTTTGGGTTTTCATGGAAAATCATATATGGGTTGGGGTCTGGGAAGGGTCATGTTTGGTCTTGAGGCGTCCGAAGTCGGGATTGGTCTTTAAAAATATGGTCTCGGCTTGCGTTTACGAAGCAAACCTAGTAGAAAAAACACATCTGGGTTGGGGCCTGGGGAGGGTCATGTTTGGTCTTGAGGCGTCCGAAGTCGGGATTGGTCTTTAAACATATGGTCTCGGCTTGCGTTTACGAAGCAAACCTAGTAGAAAAAATACATCTGGGTTGGGGCCTGGGGAGGGTCATGTTTGGTCTTGAGGCGTCCGAAGTCGGGATTGGTCTTTAAAAATATGGTCTCGGCTTGCGTTTTGCGAAGCAAACCTAGTAGAAAAAATACATCTGGGTTGGGGCCTGGGGAGGGTCATGTTTGGTCTTGAGGCATCGTAAGTCGGGATTGGTCGTAAGAAACATGGCCTCGGCTGGCGCTGAGGAAGTCAGTGTCATATACAAGAAATTGTGGGTCGCGCTATTGTGCAACCAGGTGTAGCCTAGCTCCTTCTAGAGCGACAAAAACTTCTGGACACGTCCATGAAGCGTCGGTCACGGGTAGAAGTTTTCATCGGAGTTGAAAAAAATCATGGAAGAACGCAGTGCCCCCGAAGCAAGATCCATGCGCCGTAGGATTGAAAACACCCTCCTCAACTTTTCCGAAACATATACAGGCGGTGTCTCTTCGTGAAAGATCCTGGCGCGCGCGCCCATGCCTAGGTTGTAAGTTGTAAGTGGCAACCAAACACCACGAAAAGAAAAACTCGACTAGTTTCTGACACACGAAAACATGGGCCCCTTGCCCAGCCCCCCCCCCCCAAACCCACCCCCCCCCTTTTTCCCCCCCCCCGCCCCCCCCCCCTGCCCCCCCCCCCCCCCCCCCCCTCCCCGCGCCCCCCCCCCACCCCCCACACGCCCCCGCCCTCCGGGTCCCGGCCCCACCGAGCCCTCACCAGGACCCGGTCGGTACCTGGTCGGTAACCGGTCGGTAACCGGTCGGTAACTCGTCGGGACCTCAAATTGCCGGTTTTTGGCTTGTTTTTGGGCTCCCGACCAGGTACCGACCGGGTACCGACCGGGCACTGACCGGGTGCTGACCGGTACCACCGCGTAGATTCGGTGCCGACCGGTCTGGTCTGTTGGGGTGACCCCCCCCCCATTGGGAGAAGGTGGGGGGGCGCGTGGGGGGCGGGGCGGGGGGGCTGGAGGGGCGGGAGGGGCTGGAGGCTGGAGGGGCTGGGGGGGGCTGGAGGGCCGGAGGGCCGGAGCTGGAGGGGCTGGAGGCTGGAGGGGGCTGCAGGGGGATGGAGGGGCTGGAGGGAGAGTCAGATGCGAGTAGCATCGTTAAGTCAAGCAGTTTTGTCCGCCAGACTGGCCTCCATCGAGAACAAAACAGGAAAGAGTTTCGATAACAATCTTTTACGAGGCTGGAGTAAGCCCAATATTTCTAGGAGCAAGTCCAAGATTTCTCAGGATTCATGACAAGGTCAAGCCCCGAAACTTGCAGGGCGGATCCCGGTTTTCAGCGATCTGAACCAAGTTTTTAATGTAATAAACCGCAGACAAATCCCAGATTTCAGATGAGTAGATCCAAGATTCTACTTAGACAGAACCCAGATTTCCGGCCACAAGACCGCAGACAGAACCCAGATTTCCGGCCACAAGACCGCAGACAGAACCCAGATTTCCGGCCACAAGACCGCAGAGAGAACCCAGATTTCCGGCCACAAGACCTGAGAAAAAACCCGCCTGACGACACCGACTTTTGGGGATATGTTAAGCATTATATGGATTATTCAACCTAAACCCTATACAGCCCACCCTATAGAACCCTAACCCCTGAACCCTAAACCTAAACCCTGAACCCCCCGTTTTCTACGAGTAAACTGACAACGTGTGTGTTCCCTGCAGTCAACTGGGCGGGTGGCAAAACAACCCTGAAGCCTAAACCCTGAACCCTAAAACCCGAACCCTAAACCCTGAACCCTGAACCCTAGCCTTAAAAGCATAGTCCCCCGCAGCCCTTGCAGGAGTCGGTGAACTACATCGACTCCTCGACGTACACCGTGCTCTCCCAGTCCAAGCTGATTATCACGGCGACCCTGCTTCCCGGCTGCTAAGTACTAGTAGGATTGGGCTTTTAGGGTTTAGGGTTTAGGGTTTATTCAGGGGATTCGTTTGGAGGTCCATGGGCAATTCTATATAGTTCGCGCTATAGGGGCCAGTCCATCTGCGGGCGCCCAATGATTTAATGGTTCAAGGTTGAGGGTTCTCCTTCCCTGAACACTAAACCCGCCCCAAACAAAATCAAGAAGTGTAGTTTGGGACATTCCCCCCCTTTACTCACAGTCCTTCATAAGAATTACAAGAAGGGGTACGATAATCCCTAATAAGGACTGTTCGTATAAGGGGGAACATCCCAAAGCATCCCCAAACCCTAGACCCTAAACCCTAAACCCTAAGCCCCCAAGCCCCCAAGCCCCTAACCCCTAAACCCCTAAGCCCTAAACCCTAAACCCTAAACCCTAAACCCTAAACCTTAAACCCTAAACCCTAAACCCTAAACCCTAAACCCTAAACCCTAAACCCTAAACCCTAAACCCTAAACCCTAAACCCTAAACCCCAACCCTCCAGCCCTTGGAGTGAAGGATGTGGCTTATCGACGGCTCCGCCCAGAGCGTCATGCAGCGTCTTGGCCCAGAATCAGGCCGAGGTTACAAGGGAGGTTCGGGGTTTAGGGGTTTAGGGTTTAGGGTTTAGGGTTTAGGGTTTAGGATTAGGGTTTTGGGGTTTAGGGTTTAGAGTTTAGGGTTGGGAGTTTAGGGGCCTCAACCCCAGATGTAAGATGTTCGAAGGGTACTCCTTGTCAAGGGTTTGGGGTTAGGGCTTCAAGGTCTAGGTGCCGTAGTCTTCTGTACTCGTAGTATTTGAAGGGCATCAACTTGGGTTGCAAGGCTTACAACTTAGGTCATGAGTCCTCTGACTGTGGTTGGTATACTAGCGGGGTCCCCTCCATCTGCGTTCCCCTGCCCTTGGGACGTCGGTTTTTGGCCCCGAACGTGAGGATTGATTTTTGTGTCCTCATATGCTTGACATCATGTATGTGCACACATACATAAATACATATACATATACATATATATGGTATTTATATTCTATACATATATACATATATATGTACATAATGCATCTACTCCGTAAACGTTCCTTTGCTTAAATGGCCATACTTCTTTGCTTGAATGCAAGACAGGGGCGCTGCAAAGTACTTCTTGGATAGGGTACTTGGAGGTTCATGGTACTTACTATCCATTTCTAACTGTACTATAACTGTACTTAGCCATATTAGGGCACTTAAGGGGCTTATAAGTGGGTTATCAGTACAGTTATAACTTGTCAAGAAGTACCATCAACCTCCAAGTAGCGTAGTTATGGCCGTGTGAACTGCCCAGCCTCAGGTGGTTCATTCTCTTCACGACATCGTCTGGAATGCTCGAGTACGTCTTGGTGGGCAAGGCTAAGGGAGACTCACTTCACATAAGCTTGTATTATGTATTTCTTTACTCTATTGTAGTATTTTATCTTCTGTGTATGACGATGATGATGATGATGATGCTCATACTGAGCTGTGGACCCTTGCTGGTACCTTGAACTACAAGGAAGGGCTGATCCGAAAGAGCATAAGCCCGAACAGGGACATACTTGGATCAGCGGAGACCTCAAATCCCTGATTCGGGTCACCCCCCCCCCCCCCCCTCGCCACTACAGGGCCTGGGGCCGATACACAGACTCGGGTCTACAGGGGGGTGCGGGGGGGATCTAATCTAAATCAGCTGGGTTTAGGGTTTACTTCCTGATACGTTCCTTACAACAAACAGGGTGCGTGGACGACCCCTCCCCTCCCCCCTTCCCCCCTTCCGCCTCTGAAAGAAAAGCAAGGGACCCTGATTTCGACGGCCTACCACATGCACACCTAAGACAGAATGTAGCCTAGACCATTAATTGATTTTTTTCTGGGGGCTCGGGGTTTAGAGAACTACTTACCGCAGACCTAGGTTTTTTTATGAAATCCCCAGCCCCCAACCCTAAACCCTGAACATCTTGACCTAGGCCATGTGGACATGTCTGGCAAACAGCACAAACTGACAGGGGTGGGAAGGGGGTCTGTGATGGATGAGTTGCGCATTGTACCGGTCGTTGATGAGTCTTGTTCGCCTAAACCCTAAATCCAAAACCCAAAGTTAGCCTAAACCCTCAACCCTCAATTCGCCTCGAAACCCGAAACTCGCCTAAGCCCTCAACCCCAAGTTAGCCAAAAACCCTAAACCCACCAACATCCCCTTATCAGAATCAGGACCCCTGTGGCTCTATGGGGGGGGGGGGGGGGGGCGGGGGTGATAGATTCGGAAGCCCTAGGTCTTTTTGGCATTGCAAAACTGCAAGAGGTAAGTATTACAGTGACTCAAGCAAGTTGATCAACCCCTATGTGGGTGGTTGTCAAAATTATGGTCCCTTTTTGGATCCCTAGTATAAGACGGAACTTAATACTTAGGGACCCCAAAAGGTATCATAATTTTGACAACCACCCATGTCCGTTTAGGTATTCTTGTTTGCTTTGTTACCCTAAACCCTAAACCCTAAACCCTAAACCGTGTTTGCCTTGTTGGTTAGAGGCCCCCGGGGCGGCTTCAGTTTTGTGACTCCAGGGTCTCAGGAGGGGCTTGGGATGTTCCTTCTTATACTAACAGTCCTTAATTCCTTAATAGGGATTATAGTACCCCCTGTTATAGTCCCTACTAAGGGCTGTTAGTATAAGGGGGAACATCCTAAACCCTAAGCCCTAAACCCTACTGTCAGTATCAGGGGGAACATCCCAAGGAGGGGCCATGACCTTCAGCGTCTTCGGCGTCTGCCTTGCCATCGTCAAGGCGGGGGGTTGGGCCTCATTGTTCCGGGTTTAGGGTTTAGGGTTTAGGGTTTTAGGGTTAGGGTTTAGGGGTTAGGGTTTAGGGGTTCCGGGTTCAGGGTTGGCCTTGCTTGCCAGGAAGGAGATGCCATTCAGCAGCGATCGACCATGGAGCGTCGTGTAGTTTCCGGCCAAAAAAGCTACATGGTTGTAGTTCGTAAGGCAGAAGAGGGGGTTTTCTGGAAAGCGATTGCAACCTCGCCAGGTCTGCATCAGTTGCTACGTGGCGGTCCTCAACACGAAAGCGCTGAAGAGAGATAGCAATCCTTTCCCCGTGCAGTTTTCATGCCTGAAGGCCGGAATTGCAAAGAATCTACAGCTGAGCACTCGGTAGTTGCGTAAGCATTCTTGGAGGTGCGCGTGGGTAGTTCTAAGTAGGGTTAGAAGTACCCTTTATTGGCTTCGGCGGGTTAGAAGAAGAGTTGCCACGCTTGCAGCTGCTCATACTCACACATGAACCTCCAAGTTTGGGTTTTGGCCAAAAGACGATACAGCAAACATGCCATTATGCGGGGAGTAGTCTTAAAAAACAAAGGTCCTTATAGCAGGATACCTGAAATTCAGAAGGAACCCCAGAAGGAACCCAAAGCAGATTGCACAGAAACCCATCTTCCAGAATTGGTTCGTTGTAGAATGATCTGGGAAGCTGTCGGCAGATCCATGTTACTTCGCAGGTCTCTTGGGCATTCGCCAGCCTTGTCTACATGGTTGTGAAGGACAACAAGACCAGAAACTACTGACTGTTCAAGCCTGAATGCTATCACGAGTGGGTCGCCGCAGTATTCTCCATCCCACATACTTCTTGGAAACCCTTAAACCTAAACCCTCAAACCTAAACCAATTAAACCTCTTCAAGCCCCTTGAACCCCGAACCCTGAACCCTGATCATGCTCAGTTTGAGGCGTTCGCATCAAGCCATACTTGGAGGTTCATTTGGGTAGTGAACAATAGTGTTAACTTGTGGGAACTATAACTTGTAGCCCTATGTAGGTACATATGACCCTACCCTAAACCCTAAACCTTAGACCTACCTATAATATGAATCTCCAAGTAGGCCCTGTGAAGTGGACGTTGTTCAGCTTGGGCAGGGGGAGGGGGGGCTAAAGCTGATAAAACCCTTTGGTGAATCTCCTTGAACCTTTTTGAGGGTTTAGGGTTTGGGGTTTAGGGTTTAGGGCTTTGGGTTGTTGCAAAAGGGTTTAGGGTTTAGGGTTTAATAAATCCCCTTAGACGCTAGCCTACTTGGAAGCCCTTCTGACTTCGTAAGTAAGGCGAGTAAGTAAGTTGGGTTATGGGGACTATCGGTGGCTTTCTCCTGGGATACTAAATGCCCTAAACCATAAAACGTCAAGCCCTAAACCCTAAAGCCCTAAGCCATAAGAACCCTGAAACCCTAAAACCCTAAGCCCCTTTTAATCGCCCAAATGTTGAGAAGCTGCAGCCTTGCCAAGAGCGCCCGCATTACCAGCCCATTAACTAGGCAGGCCCTTGGGATGGTTCATATTCTCTCTTGGGGTTTAGGGTTTAGGGTTTAGGGTTTAGGGTTTAGGGTTTAGGGTTTAGGAGACATATTTAGAGCTTTGAAGGGCCAACATAGCTAAGTATTGTAGAGCTTATTCACAAGAAGAGCCCATGGCAATGACAATACCTTAAGTCTTCATTGCCTATATATCCTTATTATGGTAATGTAGCCTAAGTCCCAAACCCTAAACCCTTTACCCAGCATGAGTCCCTGAACAAGAGCCCGGTGTTTTCTGGAGCTGGATCCTGAATAAACCACACAGTTTAGGGTTTAGGGTTTAGGGTTTAGGGTTTAGGGTTTAGGGCCCCGGACCTCCGGCATCCCCACCCTGTGGCTCCAGTGAGGCTCCCAGCGACGTAAGTGAGCAAAGTAGGAACCGAACGTAGAACCGACACCATGATGCGCGCCTCTTGGTAGCCCACTGGTGATCCTTTTGCCCGTTTTTTTTGTTAAAGGGTTTAGGGTTTAGGGTTTAGGGTTTAACCCTGTTTCACTCTTTTTTGTTGGTTCAAGGTTCCCTTCGAGCGGTAACCCTGTTTCACTCTTTTTGTTGGTTCAAGGTTCCCTTACACAGTGACCAAATGAAGGGAAACCTTAAGGGGTACAACCGTGGGGTACGAGTCTTAATCCCTTAAAACCTTAGACCACAAACCCCCTAAAGCCTAAACCCTAGCCCCTAAACCCTAAACCCTAACCCTAAACCCCTAAACCTTAAGCCCTAAACCCTAAACCCTAATCCTAAACCCCTAAACCTTAAGCCCTAAACCCCTTTGATGCCGAGGCCTTGCTCTTTGTGGCTTCCTGCTCCGCCGCCCTGGCCTTCGTCCCTCCGGCGCAGCAGATGAGCTCGAAGCCTCAGGCCTCCGTCGGCTACACCGCTCAAGAGCACCTTGCGGCGTTTAGGGGCTTAGGGTTTAGGGTTTGGGGTTTGGGGCTTAGATGGTGCCATTCGACCTGAAAGAGGGGCTAGTGTGCTCATATTGCCTTGAATAGTTGCTAGAGTAAATGACCCTAGTTTTGGGGTAAGGTTGGATGGTGCCATGTTCCGTAAAGAGGGGCTAGAGTATATAGCATTGGGTAGATGGTACGATGTTACCTTAAAGAGGGGCTGTCGTACTTAATAGTATAAGGCATATGACCCCAAGGTGTTAGATGGTGCCATATTACCTTACATAGGGACTATAGTAGGATAGGGTACATGGCCCCAATTTTTGGGTTGATTGTTGGCCCAATAGTACTAGAGGGTATATGACCCCCCCCCCCCCCCCCCCCCAATTTTTCATGTCCTCCCCGAGGCAGAGCAGCCAGTCCTCGAGCCCGCTCTCCTCGGTCGTCTTCGGCGCCAGCGTCGGCTACGCCGCCGCGGCCGTCGGCGCGGCCGCGCGCCAGAGCCGCGTGGTGCGCTTCGCTGAGGATGCGCCGGCCGTGGCCTAGTAGTAGAGTAGGTAACCTTTATCCTTTTTGGGGTACTATAACCCCCTTAAAGTCCCAAAGGTTAACCTTTAGTTGCTCCAGGTTACTGGACCCCTAAACCCTAAAGCCCAATAGGCCCTAAAAAACTCAGGTGGCAAGGACTCCCGTCGCCTATCCGATCTTCACCTTCCGCTGGCTTGCCATCCATGCCTTGGCGACTCTTCCCTGGTTCTTTGTAGGGTTTTTGAGGAAATGAGGTACCTTGTATCCCCGATTTTGGGGTTTAGGGTTTAGGGTTTAGGGTTTAGGGATATACATATATATATATATATATTTCCTTTAAAGGAATATAAGAGGGTGCCTCATTCCCTCTTTCCCTACTAAGAAGCAGCCTTTAGGTGATCCCCACCGTCTTCTTCCTTGGCGCGATCAGCTCCATGCAGTTCATCCAGCGCTGAGTGAAGGGATGCTGGCAGCTTTAGCAGGCGGCAGCGAAAGCCCTTAGACCATGCATATTCCTGTAGGGTTTAGGGTTTAGGGTTTAGGGTTTAGGGTTTAGGGTTTAGGGTTTAGGGTTTAGGGTTTAGGGTTTAGGGTTTAGGGTTTAGGGTACCCTAAACCCTGAACCCTTGATCGGAAGAGAGTGGTTCAGAGTTTGGTTCTCAGAGATAGTCTTACTCAGTGGCGGAAGCTGCCTGGCCCCAAAAACCTCCGAACAAGTCCGCCTTGAGCCGGACTTGGACGGGACATTCTTTGTCTTTAAAAGAATCAAAAGGAAGTCTTCGGCTTCGCGTGAAGTAGGTGAAGGAGGCTCCTGTCGTGCAGGCGAGCTTTTTTTGTGGGAAAAGCATGTTCCTTGTGAGTGGTTCGCCCAGCTAAACGCGCGCGGACAAGCCCCAAACCCTCAACCCTAAACCTTGAGAAACCTTGCATGCCTTACATTCCAAACCCTGGAGCAGTCGCTAGACGGGTGGCAGTAAAAAAACCCGAAGCCCAAACCCCCAAGACCCCCCCTGTAGGCCCTGAACCCCTCAACCCTAAACCCTAAACCCCCAAGAAGCCCCTGCAAGCCCTGAACCTCTAAACCCTGAACCCCTAAACCCTAAACCCTAACCCTAAACCCTAAACCCTAAACCCTAAACCCTAAACCCTAAACCCTCCCCGCCGGAGGACGGCATCCTTGGAGACGGCATGTTTGGGGAGTGGACCCACCGCACCGTCGTCCTCGTCTTCTGCGGCTTCATCCTCAAGACCCTCTTCAACCAGCACCTCGGGTTTAGGGTTTAGGGTTTAGGGTTTAGGGTTTAGGGTTTAGGGTTTAGGGTTTAGGGTTTAGGGTTTAGGGTTTACGGTGAGGGTTTCCTCTTCAACCAGCACCTTGACCCCCCTGAATCTCTAAAGGGTTTAGGGATGTTAGGTTTTTTGGGTGTGGGGTTTAGGGTTTAGGGCTTAGGGTTTAGTGTTCAGGGTTCAGGGTTTAGGGTTTGGAGTTCAGGGTTCAGGGTTTAGGGTTTAAGCCCCAAACCCTCCCTAAACCAAGGGATCTCTGCAGTTGCGCCGTGGAGCATTGCTAGACGGGCGGCAGCAAAAAAAACCAATAATCTCGAGTTCAAGGTTTGGGCTTTTGGGGCTCCGGGATTTAGGGTTTAGGATTTCGGGTTTAGGGTCCACATTGCCTTGGTTAGCAAGTCCAGCTTCACAAAAGGGACCCTAAACCCTAAACCTTAGACCCTAGACCCTAGACCCTAAACCCTAAACCCTAAACCCTAAACCCTAGCTGCCCTTGCAGGATGCGCCGATGGCCCGTATTGATCCCCGACAAGTCGGGTTAGAGCTTTGGTTCTTCTACTTAGGACCCTATTTCGGGATGTTCCCCCTTATACTAACAGTAGGGTTTAGGGTTTAGGGTTTAGGGTTTAGGGTCGGTTTAGGGTTTAGGGTTGAGGGTTGAGGGTTTAGGGTCGGTTTAGGGTTTAGAGTTCAGGGTTTAGGATGCCCCCCCCCCCTTACACTACCAGTCCTTAAAAGGGATTGGAGTACCCCCGATCATAGTCCCGATTAAGGCCTGTTGGTATAAGGGAGTACACTCCTCTGTATGGTATTTCTTATAGCCTTGCTTCTAACTACTGGAGTTTGTGGAGTTCACGAAGGTCAGTGGCTTCTGTGTTCCGATCTAAACCCTAAACCCTAAACCCTAAACCCTAAACCTGCCCCCAAGCTTTAGTAAGGTCTACTCGCCTTAGCGGTCTGAGAGGATTTTATTTGGGGGGTTTACGAGGGTTTAGGGTTTAGGGTTTTAGGGACCCCTAGCATAGGACCCCGAACAGTAGGACAAAGGACCACAACAAGGCACCCCGAATTTCGGAAGCCCCATGTAGGAATGCAACAACACCTCCCTAAAACCCTAGAATCCCCAAACCCCCTAAACCCTAAACCCCCTAAACCCCCTAAACCCCCCTAAATCCTAAATCCTAAAACAGCTGCCGCCGCGTGGTGTTGCAAGGTACCTGCTGAAAGTTTTGGATGCCATTTGGAAACTCGCGCAGCAAGCGCCTGTAAGGAGTTCGGGTATTTCGGGGACCAGGTGAAAACTACAGCCCTAACAGAGGTTTTAAGGTGAGCCTTTTTGGGCCCAGGGTTTGCGGGTGAATGCATTCGGGGGCAGGGGTTTTAGTCTAAAATGCGTAGCGTTTTCCAACAACATCTCTGCCTGAAGGCGGTCTGCTTGGTGGCCCGGCGGTACCCTCTTGCCCATTTTTGGGGTTCTTGGTTCTCTTTCTAAAGCAACCAACCCCAAAAAGTGTAATTACCCTTAGTATCATATGGTTTCTGGGCCAGCAAGTCAGAGTCAGGGAAGTCTTTGCGAGTGAAGCGCTTTGGATGTAGATGGCACTGAAGATCTTGAAGTGCATAATGTTGTTGTTGCGACGGTTGTTGTACTGCGACGAGGAGCGCAACAGTCCACAACTGGCTAGCTGACCTGTTGCATTTCGGGTTTGGTCGCACGTTGCCCTTTTTTGAGCCCAGAGAGGGCCCCAACCCCTTTACTAAGGAGTATACCTTAAACTATCTAGGGGATCCTGAGTATGATGTAAGGTATATTCCCTATTTAAGGGCTCTGTGGGAACACATAGATTCCTGTCCATGCAACGCGGAGGGTGCAGGGTGGCCCGCGTTCTTTTGAGTTTCGGGTTCAGGGTTTAGGGTTTGGGGTTTGGGGTTAGTTTGGGGTGTAGGGTTTGGGCTTTGGCATCCTGGTTTGGGATGTTCCTTTTTGCGCAGTTGCCTGGAGAACAGTCGCTTTCATAGCGAATGTATCGGACGATCCCGCAACCAGGTGAACTCGTGTTCAGACATCGTGCATGCCGCGCTGAGGAAGAACATCAGCGAGGCGATCGGAGTGATCCTGGTGTATTTTGGCCGCGTGATGTTCCTGGGAGGACCCTGGTCTTGCACAGCGGTGCCACGGAATCTCATAACTACAGCCACTGACTTGAAGCCCTAAACCCTAGAATCACCTATGATTGCGCGTCCCCGAGAGGGGGTTTCCGATTCAGTCTTCGAACTCTTATAGTGATAATAAAGCCCTGCTGCATGAACTCGGCACTGCCTTCGACGGGTGCGCCGGGATGTGCTGCTCACGCAGGAAAGTACGACCCCACGGTCTTCAACGCCGGTGTCACTGTGGTCCTGGCTTGCATTGCCTACGTCCTGTCCAAGGCCCGACGCTTTCGATCTTTCGGAGCTTCGGGGTTGTATGGTGTAGGGTTCAGGGTTTAGGGATTACGGTTCAGGGTTTAGGGTTTAGGGTTCAATTTGATGTTGGGCCTCTTGTGGACCAGCCAGGTGATAGAGACAGACCCGATGTCTCGTCCCGAATCACTTCATCCTGGGACGTACAGTAAGGTTTTAAGCTCAAAGGTGGTGGCTGTTTAGGGTTTAGGGTTTAGGGTTTAGGGTTTAGGGGCAAGTCAGAGCATGTGTCACTACTGTACTGGTGCGTAGAGGCTCTTGTATTGGCCCCAAACTTATATGTTTTTGGAGGTTGTTACTGCAAAGCCCCTTGAAGGGTTTTTAGGTACCCTACAAGGTAGGTCTTGGGCTCTGAAGGAAAGCCCTTTAAACCCCCCAAGCAACGATCCCACCGGCCTGCGGGCCCCCAAAACCCTATAAGCGCCTATTGACCCTCTAAGCCCTATAAACCCTACAACTCCTATAAACCCTCTAAGCCCTATGAGCCCTATAAGCCCTATATCTCCGAAAACTCCTATAAACCCCCTAAGCCCTCTAAGCCCATTAAACGACCCTAAACCCTAAACCCTGCTCTAAGCCCTATAAGCCCATTAAACAAGGAAGGACCTCAAGGGCCTGAAAGGGGCTCCCGAGTAGAATAGCCTTCGAGCTCCCGAAGACTGAAGTGTCGCCTCAAAGGTCAGGGTTTAGGGTTTAGGGTTCAGGGCCCAACAAAACTCTTGATGAAGGAATAGACCATGTATTGCATAGGGATCCTTATTCTGTCTGACTTAAGGTAAACTTTTATCCCCATATTTGCAATCGTGCTCCTTATGTGACTTAAAGCCCTTCCATAAGGGGTCTTGCAGTCCCCGGACCAAACCCTACATTCTGGCCCCAGGAGGGCAAAGCCAAGAAGAGCGAGGTTGGCGATGAGCTGAATCCCGAGATGTATCCCGACCTCACGACGCCCCTCCGCTGCGTTGAGGATGGCTTTGAACTTCTTCATACGGTTTACCGCGTAGTCCGTAAAATTTTGAAACATCGGGTAGGTGCGTTCCCTCCGGCCTTGAGGCTGAGTGAAACAGAACGACCCCCAAAACCCTAAAGCCAACGTGCTATAAACCTTTTTCAGTGAAAATAGACCCAACATGAACCCCTTGCCCTCCTCTCCAAAACAAAAGTATGGAGTAGACACAAGAGTGTTATATATATATATGTATACATGCATACCATATATAAAATATACATATATACATATGAGAGAGAGAATGATAATACCAAGTTTCGTTATCATAAGCCCACTGAGGCTTTAAAGCCTCCGAACCCTAAACCCCAAACCTCAAACCCCAAACCCTAAACCCTAAACCCTAAACCTAAACCCTAACCCTAAACCGTAAACCCTAAACCCTAAACCCTAAACCCTAAACCCTAAACCCTAAACCCTAAACCCAAACCCTAAACCCTAAACCCTAAACCCTGACCTTTCAACCTAAACCCTTTGAGCCTTTAAAGCCCCCGAACTTCAGGTCGCTGCTTCGGCACCGCCGTCCCTGAGGGAGGAAGTGAGGTCCCTGCACCCTGAGGAGCGTCGAACCTTGAATGGCTTGAAGTTTAGGATTAAGGGCTTAGGGTTTAGGGTTTGGGGTTTGGGGTTTGGGGTAGGTTTAGGGTCAGGTCCTTAGGGTTTGGGCTTTACCATAAACCCAAGGAGGGGGGCTTTATCAGGCAATAAGGGTTTGGTGGTAGCTCAGTTGTGCCCTTTCTCTTTGTTTGGTTCAAGGTTCCCTTCTCAAGACACCACCCACCCCACCAAAAGAAAATAAAACATCAAAAAACGCATTGCACTCGTAACCCTAGACCGTAAACTGACAAAAGGCAACCCAGTTAGCTTAGCATACATCGATCCCGACCGGTGTAGGGGTGCCCAGAGAGGCCAGCACCCCCTTCAGTAGGGATCGTAGATCAACTTCGTAGCTGGGTTCAGGGTTTCGGGTCTAGGGTTTGAAATGAGCTCACTTTCTACACTTTTCTGGGGACAATGCAATCACCTATGGAAACTGAAAGTGTGCATTGTTTCTTGTTTTGTTTTGTTTTTTTTCTTTTTCTTTGGGGGGAGGGGGGGGGGGTATGACCTCAGCCACTAAGTCAATGTACCTGAGGCAGGGCATTTGTTATACAGTCGTTACGGTGAGGATGGATGGGGCGTTCTTTTTGTGAATATTCGTGAGTGTGTATTGGGTGTCCTTGCGTGGCGATCGCAACGAAAACCCTCATGTACGCCCCATATGACAGAACGCAGATCTTCCCCAATCAGAAGGGTATCACCCTAAACCCTAAACCCCAAACCCTAAACCCTAAACCCTAAACCCTAAAGCGACCCTCTGGGTGGTATAGTCCTGAGTGATTTTGCCTGTGCCGGAGACACTCGCGATGCAGAGTTGGCGCAACTCCTGTCTTGAACCTGCGGCTCGTTTAGGGTTTAGGGTTTAGGGTGTAGGGACTTCAAAACTACTTGGAGCTCCATGGGTAGTTATAAGTCGGGTTATACGTACCCCCAAATAAGGTTATCGGTATAGTTCCCGTATACTTCAGACTATCCATGAACCTCTAAGTAGCATGCCTAGTAGTACCTCTGCTCCCCATTTCTCAGGGCTCATCTCCCCTGCAAAAAATAAGAGCAGGAAAGGTTGTGTGGCTAGGTTTAGGGTTTAGGGTTTAGGGTTTAGGGTTTAGGGTTTAGGGTTTAGGGTTTAGGGTTCATGGGCCGCCCTCTTATTCTTAGGTTGCTGGGGCACCCACTGTATACGTTCGGCTTTTCAAGGTCTTGCACCTCACGACTGGCCGCTGCTTTCATGGGGGGTTGGTTCGCAACTTCTTGCATCCTGCAGAAAGTTTTTCCGCCCGAGTGGTTGCTCCCTCGCCCGCTGGGATGCTCATGGTCAGCCCTAAACCCTAAACCCTAAACCCTAAACCCTAAACCCTAAACCCTAAACCCTAAACCCTAAACCCTAAACCCTAAACCCTAAACCCTAAACCCTAAACCCTAAACCCTAAACCCTAACGCGGCTGATCGAGGCTGTTGCATCCCCTGTACTCATCCTGGCAAAAGAGCGACGCTTTCCCATTCAGGAGCCGACCATCAGCATGCTGTACCGTACGTACATCGGCAAAGCACGTGAGACAATGCACATCACAACCCATTCTGCGTCGGAGTCGTAAAATGCGCCTTGCCTCTTTCTTCTCCCTGGTTCTTAGTAGGGAATGAGGGAATTAGGACCCTGTATATATGTATGTATTTATACATATATATATATATACATATATATATATACATACCCTTTAAGGGATTTTAATTATAGGGTACCTCATTCCCTCATTCCCTACTAGGAGCATTTTGCAGTCTCGGGGTTAAGCGCCGCGACTACCTGGAGCTTCATGGGTTTAAACGTAGCGTTAAACGTGCCCTAAATAGAGTTGTGTCTTATATCTCTATTTCGGGTACATACAACCCTACTTAAAAGTAAAGTTCCGTACTTCTGACCCTACTTGGCTACCCAAATGGACCTCCAAGTAGCCCAACATGCAAATTCAAGACCGACTCCCCTGAAGCCAGCCACTTCGCGACGTGTTGTGCATGTCTCGCATCCCCTCAGCCCTTGGTGTCGGGTTTAGGGTTTAGGGTTTAGGGTTTCTAAACCCGAAGCCCCAAACCCTACTTAAGAACCCTACTTATGCGGGTTTAGGTTTTTTGGGTTTTGGGGCTTTTTAGGGCTTTGGGGTTTAGGCAAAGATTCGAGTTCCCTTTATAGGTTTTAGGGTTTTTAAGGTTGAGGTTGTTTAAGTTTCAGGTCTCAGGGGTTTAGAGTTTTTAGGGTCTAGGGTCTTTAGGATTTAGGGTTTTGAGGGTTCTTAGGGTTTAGGGATTCGGGTTTCGGGTTTTGAGGGTTGTAGGTTTTTAGGGATTAGGGTGTTTAGGGTTTAGGGTTTCTAAGGGTTCAGAGTTCATAGGGTTTTGGGCTTTTAGGGTGTAGGGCTTTTAGGGTTTAGGTTTTTGGGGTTTAGGGGTTTAGGGTTCGGGTTTTTTGGGGTTTGGGATTTTCGGGCTTAGGGTTTTTAGCATTTAGGGTATAGGGTCTAGGGATGCCCAGTAGTGACCTTATTCCCTTTGTTAGGGGGTTTAGGGTTTAGGGTTTAGGGTTTAGGGTTTAGGGTTTAGGGTGTAGGCTTCTAAGCCACACGGGCACCCTTTTTAATCCTAGGTTACTGGGCAAGCTAGAGGGTTTTGTGTTTGGGGGGGCCCCCTTATACTCACAGCCCTTAATAGGATTATAATCGATTATAACAGGGGGTACGATACTCCTTATTAAGGCCTGAAGGGAACATCCCGGGTTTAGGGTTTTTATTACAGTTCAGGGGAGAAGAAGATGTTCTATCACCATCCACAGCGAGCCGGATGTGAGGGGCTCGCCAGCTCCCGCCTGTTTAGGGTTTAGGGTTTAGGGTTCCCAACCCTCAACCCTAAACCTCCGGAACTCAAATAGGTCTGCTTCCACAACACTATGGTGGACAGAATTACATCGCAGCGCGAGGGCTGCGGCGTGCTCAGCTTTGTGGTTGGCTTGGGAGTCCAGAAAGCCCAAAGGGTTTAGGGTGATTAAGGCATACACTGGCTCTCCGAAGGGATAGTGCCTTCTGGTGTTGCTTATAGGGAGCGTTCAGCACATGATTTTCACGATGTTTTCTCAGCCCTGAGCCACAGACACTAAACCTCAAATCCCAAACGCCAAACCTTAAAGCCCCAACCCCAAACCCGCCTGGCTTGTCCGAGCATGAGCGACTCAACTCCGAAACCCAAAGCCCTAAACCTTGAACCCTAAGCCGCCCTCGGTTTAGGGTTTAGGGTTTAGCCGAAAACCCTGAACCCTAAACCTTGTCTACCTTGTGAGCGAAACCCTAAACTTCAACCCCTACACCTTAGACCTTGAACCCTAAGCCCTCGACCCAAAACCCCCAACCCTAAACCCTAAACCTAAACCCTAAACCCTAAACCCTAAACCCTAAACCCTAAACCCTAAACCCTAAACCCTAAACCCTAAACCCTCAGCCTCCCAGTCAGCATGTTCGGCACCGAGGTCCAGAGGTCCCCAGGGCCGAGCCGCAACCTCGGGCCGAAACCCCCTGGCTCTGCATAGGGCTTTTGGGCTTTTTGGGTTTATAGGCTTTATGGGGTTTAGAGGGTTTATATGCGCCCGCTTTGCGCGTAATCGACACCCCCCCCATGGTATCCCCCCCCCCACGGCATCCCCCCCCAAACCCTGCCTGTTAACCCTAAAAACACCACGGACCACGGGGGAGGACAGAGAAACCTCAGCCTAAACCCCACCGCCTGAACCCTAAGCCCTAAAACCTAAACCCACCAATGAACGACAGGAGGAAGGGTAATCCCGAACCCTTAGCCGCTTTAATTAACCCTGAACCCTGAAGCGTGAACTCAGCACGAACCACAGGGGGGAGAGGGGAAACCGTAGACCTACCATTACCCCAAACCTTGAACCCTGATTAAACTCTAAACCCACAATGAACCAATGGACCAGAGTGAAAATCCTGAACTCTATAGCCTAACCCTAAACCCCTAAACCACAAACCCCTAAACCACAAACCCATGAACCACGGACCATGAACCACAGGGGGGGGGGGACCCCAAAACCACAGAGGGGGGTGGGGGGGGGGTGCGCCTATGCTGGCGCATATAGGCTTATAGGGTTTATAGGGTTTATAGGGTTTATAGGGTTTGGGGTTTAGGGGTTTAGGGTTTGGGGTTTAGGGTCTTTGGGCTTATAGGGTTTTATAGGGTTTGTAGGGCTTATAGGGTTTATAGGGTTTACAGGGTTTAGAGTTTTTGGGCTTGTAGGGTTTAGAGGGTTTAGGGCTTTTTGGGAGGTTTAGGGTTTGTGGTTTTGTTCTTTGGTTAGGGTATCTTAAGGGTTTTCAGTTGGGATGTTCCCCCTTAGACTAACAGTCCTTAAAATGGGATTATAATAGGGGATACTAGAATCCTTGTTAAGGACTGTTTAGGGTTTAGGGTTTAGGGTTTACATCCCAACT